TTTGTTCCAGCCTGTGCATTTAATTTTATTTTTCAAAAGCAGGAGTTTTGATATTTCTTCTTGTATTGAAATATTTGTTATTGACTTGTTGTTTAAGATTGTTATTGTTTTCTTATATATTCAATAACAAAAAAAAATCAAATCAAATAAATCAATTCAAGCCAAAATGTAAGAGTCTATAATTAGGCTATACTGGGCCTGATCTATTTCTACCATCTATTTGGAGGATATTTATTGCCACACTTTGGGCCACTTAAAACCAATTTAGCATGCTGACCTATGACCTTATGACCACAGTGTACCAATCTTCTGATGGCTACTTCCAACAGGATAATGCGCCATGTTATAAAGTGAATCATCTCAGAATCATTTCTTGAAACTTTTCCACTTAAGTAATTGTGAATTGAGCATATTGACAGACAACATTTTATTTTTTATCTTAAATGCAAATTTAAAAAAAAAATAATTACTGCTCTAAATGTATTGCTCTGTCAGCTAAAGATCTGTTTTGGTCTCTATACTTTAATTAAATAAATCAATTCAAGCTAAAATGTAAGAGGCTATACCTGATCTCTTTGTATCAGAGATTTTCTTACCCAGGGTTGCAGGGGGGGTAAAACCCCCCCTGCAACCCTGGTTTGCATTTGTATAGCTCACAGCATGTTCATTTACATGTTAAAGCCTCCCCTAGAATTCCATGGGGGGGAGGCATGGGGGGAACACTGCCTAAGAAATTCCACGTCAATTTCTGACAATTTACGGGAGTTTACGGCAAGGCCTGCAAATTGCCGTAAACTGCCGCTAACCTGAAGTTCCACGACAATCTACAGTGCCGTATATTGACGAAAATCCCACTTTTCATGCAGTGATATGTGTATGTGTATATGTGTATATATATATATATGTGTATATATATATTGCACTGAGTTATTGAAAATGAAACATTAAATTGAAGACAAAACTAAACTAAGGTGCGTGTATTGTCCATGTCTATGGGGGGAGGAGTGTAATGTGGCGTTAAGCAGTCTGATGGCCCAATAACATGGGTATCCCAATGTGACACATGGGGGGCTGTTGATTCCAATGGCCTTCATTTGGGCTGCCATAAAGCTGTTCATTTTATCACTCAAATGAGAACAGAGTTACAAGACTGAACAAAAACTGCATTAGAGAGCTGAAAGTAAATAAAAATATTGAAAAAAGATTGACATTTTAATAAGGTAAAAATCACTTTTAAACTTTTGCATTTAATTTCAAATTACGTGGATACAGATTCAATCAGAACAATTCAAATTCCATTTCTGATTCCAAAAAAAGATAAAAAACACAATCCACTGAACTTTGTTTACAAGTTTGAAGACGTTTCGCTTCCCATCCAGGAAGCTTTTTCATTTCAAATGTCAGAAATAGCGTTGAGTTCCAGCCTTTATACAATAGCCCAACAAAGCCTTGCTTTTTCTTAGACAACATGCAAAATGAAACGGACGAAAGGGTCCGCCCCTTTGGAATGGGGGTCGTTTGGGTTATTTGTTCGCCTGCAATGGTCCATACCTGTCTATGTCTCTGAAAGGGGGGTCGCTAAAGGGAATTGTTTGGCCTGGCTGAATAGGAGGGTTCTTCTGTTCCCTTGTAAAGGGCATTGCGATCATAGCGGGAAGGAATTAACTCAATTGAGTCTATGTGGTACAAGTTTCCACCCATACTGATGATCCATGGGATCCTATTCTCCATTTTGTACTTTTACAGTTTTGATCATTTATCCTGATTTTTTTGTGTGAGAAATTACTTTATGCTGATTCATATCCCGCTAATCCTTTATGGCTGCAGTTGACAATCCTAATGAGGATTATAATCATAAAGACCAAATCAAAGTCTAGAGTTTATACCATCATTAGTGGGGGTTTTTTACAAACTTATATGAACATTTTTAGTTTAATATAATAGTCTGCTCCTCCTTTTTCTTAGTTTGCTGATTTTTGTCATAATTCAGTCATCTGTATTTTTCAACAAGGCCTGCTAATTGAATCAGAAACATTATTCTTATGAATATGGGGATTAATGTACGGCTTTTTGTGTTTCTATTACAATGAATGACAATAAATCCAGAGGTAATTGAGCTTGAGTGTGTCTTTGTAATCAGGATGGAGGAGTGTTAATGATTACACACAACCTCTGAGGCACTTCCCTCCACACTCTGATAGTTTTGTCTTCAAATGGTATGGTAATGTAATCAGTAACAATGAGAAAGTGCTGAGTCGCCCTTCTGTGGCTGTTACATTATTTCATGAATGATGAAGCTGTTTCCTCACAGGCGTACTGACAAGTACGCTTAACAAGTTTTTTAAGCAGCCAAATGCTTTTTTTGTCAGAGTTTGACACCGTTCACTGTTTTCAGAATTGTTTCTCTGACTATTACTGTTTATAATATGTTTTCTGCTTTGATTTCATTACTTTTTTCTCTGCTGTTTTCATTTTCTTTGTTTTACTTTTAAATCTGTTCTTCCTTTTTTTTTTTGGGGGGGGGGGGGGGTATTTTTCTTTTGTAACCCACAGCACTGATTTCATGAACAACGTGTAGAATAGCACAGCCTTTAATCAGGTGGTAATGAATATATTCAAAGTTTCAGTGGTTTTGTAAAAATATTTTGCAAAACATTCAACCAAAAGAGTAAACAAATATTGTTTAATGGAAATAAGCTGTCTTTAAACCTGACTGACATAAAAAAAAAATGCTGTTTGGTTGAGGTAAACCTCATAGAAATTTAAATGCAGCTAAATGGAGAGAATACCAAATGAGTACATTAATCTAAAGTTCATGGAGAAAAAAATTTATTTAAATTAAGCAGTAAAAAATCTCCTTATGTTCAGGAAGTCTTGTTATACCGTCTCTTCCTAATACTAAACAGTTTATTTTGACCTTAGTGGTGCTAATATGTAAAGACCAGGAGAAATAATTTTAAAACTACACTACAGTCTTGAAAAAAAATGCAAAAATTATCACTAAGAGAAAATAAGTAAATAAATAAGGCTAAGTAGCTGAGTCACACAAATGTATATCTAAATTGTTGAAAAATTGGCTAACGTAACACAACTGCAATCAGCTATTATAATATTTAAAGCCAAAAGAATGTCTTAACATTTTTAAAAACTTTTAACTTAAGGAACGAGTTTGAATTCAGAACTATTAGATGGAGCTTTGGTACTGTATATCTTTATGTAGGGCTCTGAGACTGTTTAACATTGAGATGAAGCCATGTCCGAAGTGTAAAAAAAAATATTTTTACTACAGTATTTCAATGAGAAAACAAGTTCATCGGCTATTACTGCTGTTGCTTTAATTCTGACTCGTGTTATTAGTCATTCTTATGATTAGCTTTTATCAGTATAATTAGCATATTATGAACAGAATTACTGATGCTTGCTTACACTGTCATCAAATATGAAAAGTACCATATTGATCAGTGATATAAGTGGATTCAACCTTTTTATAATTTCAAGGAAATGAATGGAATGATGTTATTGTTAGAATGGTTTTTTTACCTCTTTCTTCCCTTTAAACAAAACCATTCTGGTAGGTAACTGATGTTGTGTATAAGTTGTTCATTTCTCTAAGATAAATATGTAAAAATGTATATAATGTATAATGAGCATATAAAAAAAATTGCTATATATATATATATATATATATATATATATACACACACACACACACATACCGTAAATCCTCTAATATTGGCCTGTTTTCCATTAGAAAGCGGGTCTCTAATAATGGCCGGTCTCGCTGTCGGTGGAGGTAAATAATGGCCAGGCTGGTATATAGGGCGGGGCTATAATTAGAACCAACAATGTTCCGGGGCAGTCCTTGACAACTTGTGATAGTAACATACAAGTACCAGAGGGGGGTAATGTTTGCTAACGAATCTAAGCCATTATCATGGGAAGTGCCATCCTTACACGTAGTGTAGAGATCGTAGTGACCTTACACAATCGTTCTGATCTGAAAGAAAAATTAGATTATCGGTAGGTCTGGTGGTAACCAGGCAGCATTAAAATGATGTCGTTCTGTTCTGAATTTCCCTTGAAATATATGATACTGGTAGCCTACTTCCACTTAGCCTGCCTCAAATAAAATTTCGCTGTGATGGCAGAAGAGTTTCCATAATTTTTTTTTTAAAACTTTGTTTCGCAATTCAGTTTGGTCAAGATTCCATTCTGTGGTTTTTTTTTTTTTTTTTGCCGTACAGACAAATTGCAGCTGCTGGAAGATGTCTAAATAATGTTCTGTATACCGTTATGGTAACTGTACTTTTTCAATAAATGAACCTAATATTTTATAGGTTAAAAGAGACGCGAAATCTCGTTTTTATTATTCCACTGGTAGTCTGTTTTGATCAAATAGAAATAGAGGCCTGCCTCCAATTCTGGCCTCCTTCCAATAATGGCCTGGACCAGGATGCACCTGAGTGGAATAAAGGCCCCATCCTATATTAGAGGATTGACGGTATATATATATTTATTTATATATATTAATTTATTTATTTATATGTGTGTATATCTCAAAATAGGCAAAAAGAAGGTTGCATTTATCGGCTACATAATGAGGAGTTATCCAATCCAAACAGGCTGTGACGTAATCAGCCAATGAATTTGGCCTTTGGAGGACGCATCCACTGGATTCGTACTCAGCAACTCATTACAGCCCTCTGTCAAGCATTATATTCTCATGCCAGCGGTATCCGTTGTTTTCTCTCATTGACTATTTCAACTTTAGTCAGTAATTTGAAATATACGTGGATTTTTTAAAACTTTTTGTGCAGAAACCATGAAGGCCATAAAAAATAAAAAAAGGCCCATAAAAATCTACATGAATTCAAGCACCAAGGAGTTACTTTACCTACCTAAATCTAGCACCTCTCTTCATCAAATCATTTGAAAATGTTTCATGTCTCAACTGTTTTCTGTTCTCTCCCTCCCATCCCTTCATGTCTTTCCTCCTATAGGATGTTCAGATAGTGAGCACAGACGAGAGCCAAGTTCTCCTTGCCCTCCAGGAGTGGTACCAGACCGACACCTATAACTTGTACCAGTCAGACTCCCAAGGTGTTTACTACTCAATGATCCTGGAAAACGTTCGCAGCACCAAGCAGCCAGAGGAGAATGTTCTCATTGATATCCTAGAGGTGAGGTCATCTATAATAAAAATTTGTTGTCATTGTTTAATCTCTCTGTAACTATAAACATAAAATGAGTCAAATCCACACAGGGGACAAATATTCTACTTTTGGGAATCCTGCCTGTACTGGTTTGTTCTACAATCCAAAGCAATCAAACTGCATACAGCACTTTTCGATGGTGGTATAAGAATAGAGCCACTTAGTCACACTTAAGAGGATCATGTTTGCACTTCACTTTAATATTCTTACTATGAATAAATCCAATTAAAACCCTAAGCCACCTCTGTGCTACTTGGTCTCTTTGGGACTCTTTTATTATCGGAGTAGCTCTCAGACCAGAACCAGTTGGTTTTAAGTAAAATCAAGAAAAAGGATTTTCATTTCCTTCACCTATTTTTCACGTGTTAGTCGAACTCCATGCACTTAGGTGAACAGCCATTACCTTCATTGATAATAAAGACGGTTTAACCGTGTGGTTCAGTCGGATCATTAAACAGGGTGAAACAATACATTCACAGAATATGATGACACAGCTGAAGATGCAGCGTTGAAAAGAATAAGGGGAGTTTTGAAAAATATCTTCAGGGAAATAGTTGTATCCAATTTGCAGTTTTATATTTATTAACCTACGGCTAAACACACAAATAACATCCAGTGGTTGGAAACCGCTGTTTGAAGTTATTATTAGACAATAATTGATCAAGGGTTCTGATTATTGTGTCTTATCCACATGTTATAGGCAGTTGTGTTAAAAAGGAGAATTCCCCCAAATAATATATCCAGTTCTATTCAAAACACATCATCTCAAGGCATTTTACAATTCATCAGATCATCCAGTTAGACTGATTAAAAGTTTCCTATCTAAGGAAAACCAGTTGATTGCATCGACTCTTTGACTCTAAGTTAAAGGAATAGTACACCCAAAACATGATTAGCCTTCATTTTCTACTCACCCCCATGCTGAACAACACTCTGGAGTACTTTTTTGATATCTCAAATGCATCTGGAGATCTGGGAGGCTTCTTGCTGTCTGCTGATATTCAAATAATGGAGGTCTATGGTGCCCGAGGCAGAAAGGTCCATAAAAGTCCACAAAAAACGTGTCAATATTCCTCCATACTGCTCGTCCAATGTATTCCAAGTGTCCTGAGTGGGTAGCGTCCATAATTTACTTGAAACGAAGTCATTTAGAATGTTTTTAGAGCATAAACAGTAGTGTATAGGATTTCCTAAAAGCGCGTTCACGAGTCTACGGAAACCGCGGCAGACCAAACCAGACGAAAGTGCGCATTCAGCTCGGCAAAGAACTCATGCTCTTCCTCAACACTGAAGTTCTCAGACATTTTTCTTTCGTTGTTTCTTTCTTTGCACAGGTAAACAGCACATTTCTTCTTCTACGCTTGCATTATCTCACACTAAGCATGCTTGTAGTGACAATTGAGGGAAAAAAAAACTCCCCTTTAACATGAAGAAACCTCCAGCAGAACCAGACTCATCAATTTCCTATCTTTTTTTGGCACTTGAAGCCTTTATTTTTGAAGTGTTCTGGAGAGTAAAATGAACCTTTGGATTTTTGCACCATTCCGCTGCAGTGAATCACCCTAATTGCCTAATTTTTGGATCTTTAAGCGGTTGAAGATTGCATTTACCTGTGCTGAGAACCATACTGGTCTGGGACTGAAACTGGATTGCAGCCTTAAGGCCCTCGGCCTCATGGGACACCACCCCATTCTACCTGCAATCCCTTTAATCACTACCTACTGCAGTTTTCTGTAAAGATAAACTTGTTTATTCCAACTCTTTTCCGAACGTTCACCAACTTTTGCCTTAACTTTAAAGAGATAGAGAGACATCCTATGGGTATTGTTAAGGAAGAAAATATTCTAAATAGTTAACTTTGGAAAAAGGTTGGGTGTTTCTCTTCCTCTCCCAGGTGCGCTCAGCGAGCTGCGTGTGGCCCCCAAGGAAAACCAGCAAGATATGCGAACGTCACAGAATCACAGAATTTAATCAAACAAAAAACAGCTTATGAGTTAACAACAAAACTGCAGAACAACAGAAACAACAGAAAGAAACAGAAAGAAAAAACAGAAAGAAGAAACAGAAAGAAAAATAGAAAAAGAGAGGCAAAGACGCGTCTTTGGAGAGAGCTGGTGCAAAAGCAAAAAAGTGGCAGCTATCTGAATTTTTGCCCCTGTGCCCAAAATTTTATAATGTAGATAAGTCCTTCCCTTTAGTATAAGGTCGTCCAGCTTGACCAATTGGAAGCTACTTTGGACACTCAGAAAAACTAATTTACGGCCGGGCCCCCCACTAGATTCTAAGGTCATCTGGCTGTCATGAGATAAAGTTTAACAGAATCGATGTGGAATGTTGAGGGCCCCTTTCCTGCCATAAATCTCAAGAACAAACTTAAATTCAGTATTTTGGTTCAGGGAAAGGTTATCTTCACAGCTCAATCTTGCTCTTTTGCACCATTCCACCCCAAAAGATTGAATCCTGCCTTAAACCACATAGAATCAACAGAACATAAAATACAATTCCTTTTTCTCACATATAAAACATAATATTAAATCTAACATATTCAATTACCCCATTAAACCTATATCCTGAGCAATTTTCTAATAGTAAACAAAACATTTTCATTCAAACAATTTCAATTTGATTCTGATATTCACACAGATAGTACAACTTTCAATTAAAAAACATGATATTAATACTTAGAAAAATGTCTTAAAAACTAAATGTTAATGTTTTAACATTCTACATTTTATTCAGTATTACAGCATCTCAGATGTTTATTCTGGAAGACCTTTGATCTTCTGTAAACCAAAGAGACCTCTCCCCTGAGGCTCAACTGTTATTCACCCCCCAGGAGATACTCATTTTAAGGCCTCCTGTGCTTTGAATACTTACCCATTAGTAGTTTTAAATCATTAACACAGCCTTGTTCAAAATTCAGAAATATGGTCAAAATGAAAGTGTTCAACATACCTTTTACACACGCCATAAGATTAACTGTTTTAAAAACTAAAATAATCATTTTTCTTTAACAGTATACAGTACAGATGTATGTAAACAAGTTCTACTGTACACTTATTTCCTCATATGTCACTGCTGCTTATCAGTATAAAACATTTTGCTTTTGTTTTCAGCTTGTAACAAAAAAACTGCTTTTGTTTCCAAGGTGCGCGGTGTGAAGGGAGTTTTTCTGGCCAATCAGAAAATCGACGCAAAAGTGACGACTCTCATAACTTATAACAAAGGACGGACCTGGGAACTCTTGGCCCCGCCCACCACAGACATGAACGGTAAACCAGTCAGCTGCAAAGTGGTGAGTACCCCATCTTTATCAGCTACAGTGTATCAGACACCATTATAACTGAAGCTTCATTTGTCAAACTTAAAATCCATGTTAGACTTGTCCTTTAATACAAAACTCACAGATTGTTGTTGTTAGACCATCAACATTTAAAGGCTTTTTGAGAGATTAATCATGTGTTATTTTCATATTTTCTAAGTTATGCTACATACAACAAGGACAACACATTTATTAAAGTTAAAGAAATAAGAAACATGACATGAGAATAGTGATTTCTTTGAAAACATAAAGTATTGCCATTTTGGGTTTGAAAGACAGTCTTTTAAAAATGCTTATCATACGAGCTTGTTAGGTAAAGGATAGTGTTTTGTGTATCTCTATTTGCTTTTTAACACACTTAAATGTTTAAAAGTTATAGCGACAAGTAACTCTCGCTGACCAGTAAGTGAAACACTTCATCTTGCCTGCTTGCCTTTAGTTAGCATTAGCTTGCATTCAACTAAAGTGGCAATCTGACCCTATTTGCTTCCTTGTTTCAGCACCAACACTCAAACAGCAACACTCACGCTCAGTGTTATATATGAGATATATAACACAGAGAAAAAGCCATTTCTCAAATTCAGAGCTACAGTAGCAGCCATTTAAAATAGCCATTCCCAGTTAAATTGCAGCCCACTTCCCTGCAGCTCCCAGCAATATCCCCTCCAACTTCCAGCCACTGGAGTGATCCCCTTTTTCTCCTGGATGTGTATATTTTTTTTACTCTGACTCCACCCTTTTACTGAATTAAGGGGTCGAAACAGGAGATGATGCTTCTCTTTAGATCTTAATGTCCACAAATGATGACAGAATATTTTAGTGCAAAGGTTGATGTTTAAAAAGGAATTTAAGGGGACCAGCCAAGAACCCATCAATGAAAGTGGGGGCTACTACTGTACTAAGATCCAGCAACACCTCCAAAATAAATTTGTGTCGATGTTGGCCTCATAACTGGAAGTAAATATTCACATCTATATGACCCTTTAAAACTCATTTAAAAATAGTTTTGGGGTAAAATTGATACTTCTTGTCGGGTTCATAAAATGTAGGTTTTTTTCTTAAGCAGAACTGAAATACACAATTTCTGGATCCAATTCCTGCAGGCAGGAGAGACAGTTGAACCCGAGACTCAAACACACTGTCTCTCACTGGACCTCCTCTGCAGAGTGTTTATTAACAGAACATGACACATGGTTACAAACAGAGTATTGTTCTGACAGAACAATTGATCAGTTCATAAAGACAGAATGCTCCATCAGAATGACAAGGCAGGATGGTCTCCTGAGTGAATCATGAGACAGGAGTGGAGCATCCCCTTGCAAAAATGTTTCATAAGCACACATTAATTTTATAATCATCATTGAATAAAACTAACACTTCTATTCTGCAGCACTATTTACATATTTTAAATGTATTATTGTTTTGATGGAGATGATGCAGCTATGAACATTAATGATAACTGTTTTTAACTTTTGTTAAGATGACCCACAAATAACAGCTGTATCCTCCCACACCACCTTCATGACCAACTCACACCCCCCACATTAAAGACCTTAGTGCCAAAGTATTGATAAAGGTATACATGCCATGTGCTAATATATCCAAAGTAGAGAATATATTAACTGCATTGGCATTTTTCCTATTTTAATAGTACCAATTCACAGCACATGGTATCTCTACGAACTTTATAGAGACAGTTCAATGAGATCGTAGAGTCAGAAGGTCATTGACTTTGCAGGATTTTCCCACCTGGATGAGCAAGCTGTGACAGTAAATGCTACAGGTAGCTTGCATTTTGCTGTTGACTCTACAGCAGCGACAGTGGACAGGAAAATTAACAAACCTCCCAAAAAATCAGGCTCAGCATGAGCGGCATTCTGCCGAGGAGGTTGAAGGTGACAGAAGCAGATAACCAAAGGGAACATAAAAAACTGTCTTTGTTAGAGGTAACAGTAATCTAACTCCATACGTGGCTCTGTTTAGCAAAGAATTTGAGATCTGGGCCATTTTTCATGTCAAAAGGGATAGAAGAGAGCGAATACATTTAAAGCTGAACCCACAGCGATGTAGAGGAAACAGGACAAAACACTGAAAAAACAGACCTAACTCTGTCATCTATAATCAGAGGCGTTGACATCAATCCGGATGGTTTCATAGCTAAACAGAGCGCTGGGCTAGATGAAGCTACTATGTCAAGAAAACTTATCTCTTCTACGTGGCTGATTGAAATTATCTCACACAGAATAGTGAGAGCAATTTCTCCCACAGCGAAAGAGGAGCCATTGCTAGTCGTCTTAAGACACCCAACCATTGCTGCTGGGGTCATTCATACTGAAAGAAAGAAAGGTAAAACGTTTACTACCTAAAGACGACGTAAAACAGTGTTTTTTCTATTTCCTCCAATTATCTTAATCGAAAATCAAATTAACAAAGCCAAACAAAAGCAGAAAAAATCTCTGAGGGAAGTATTTTTTGCTGCATTCTAGACAATTTGTAGGTAAACATACCAAATAAACAAAAAAAAAAAAACAACATCTTTGGACTTTTTGGTTCCCACTGTGAACATAAAGGAGAGAAAGATGAGTGCTCTGATGTGAGGAATGTGCTTGAGATGCTTTCCTGCTTCTGCCATCCATCTTGTCAAAGTTGCATCTGTGCAAGGTTAGACAGCAAAGAGCCACGAGTCTCCCATATTCTGAGATCCATACATCACTCCATGCTGAGAGTTGAAGGGGGGAACCAGTGTGCCCCTTTATTTGAACCATCACTCCCATCAGCTGGGAAAATATGAAGGCAGAAGCAGATATCTGCTCAACAGTCGTATACCACCTTTAAATTCAATTCAATTCAATTCAGTTTATTTATATAGCGCCAAATTCACAACACATGTCATCTCAAGGCACTTTACAGTTCAACCAGATCATACAGTCAAATTGATACAAAGTTTCCTATCTAAGGAAAACCAGTTGATTGCATTGACTCATTGACTCAAATACAATCCCCCACACTAAGCATGCTTGTAGCGACAGTGGAGAGGAAAAACTCCCTTTTAACAGGAAGAAACCTCCAGCAGAACCAGGCTCAGTGTGAGCGGCCATCTGCTGAGGCCGACTGGGGTTCAAGGAGACAGAAGCAGAGATACAAAAAGCAGCTGTAAAAGGCGGCCCCGTCCAGGAAACACACAGCCAGGCAGACGAGCTCCAAGGCAGCTCCCATGCCAGAGGACGAAGAGAGCACATCCACTCAGTCACGGTCAGAGAAACAGGACCACACTGGAAAACAGGCCGATCTCCAACATCTATTAACAAGGGTGTTGATAGAAGCAGCACAGCTGATGTTTTTTTTCCAGGATGACGTCACAGCCAAACAGGAACAGACGAGGCAAAGCTACTCTGAGGAAAAGCAGAGAGAGCAGAAGGTTAGAGATTGAACTAACAGATTCTGCAGAATAGGAGAACAGAGAGAGAATGAAGCAGAATGATGAAATGGGGGTCCCTATGTCCTCCAAAAGTCTAAGCCTATAGCAGCATAACTATAGAGATAGCTCAGGATAACCTGAGCCACCCTAACTATAAGCTTTATCAAAAATGAAAGTTTTAAGCCTAGCCTTAAAAGTAGACAGGGTGTCTGCCTCACGGACTAAAACTGGTAGTTGGTTCCACAGGAGAGGAGCCTGATAACTAAAAGATCTGCCTCCCATTCTACTTTTAGAAATTCTAGGAACCACTAGTAAACCTGCAGATTGAGAGCGAAGTGCTCTGTTAGGAACATAAGGAACAATCAGATCTCTGATATAAGATGGAGCTTGGCCATTTAAGGCTTTATATGTGAGAAGGAGGATTTTAAATTCTATTCTTGATTTAACAGGAAGCCAATGAAGAGAAGCCAGGATAGGAGAGATATGATCTCTCTTTTTTATTTTCATTAGAACTCTGGCTGCAGCATTTTGGATCAGCTGAAGGCTTTTAACTACAGTTTGTGGACTTCCTGATAGTAAAGAATTACAATAGTCCAGCCTTGAAGTAACAAATGCATGGACTAGTTTCTCAGCATCACCCCTGGACAGGATATTTCTAATTTTTGCAATGTTCCTCAGATGAAAGAAGGAAATTCTAGAAACCTCTTTGATATGGGATTTAAATGACAGGTCCTGATCAAAAATAACACCAAGATTTTTTACTTTATTATCTGAAATCAGTTTAATCCCATCCAAATGAAGTGACTGGCTAATCAGTTTCTTTTTCAGAGACTCTGGTCCAAAGACTATAACTTCTGTTTTGTCTGCATTCAGAAGCAGAAAGTTAAGAGTCATCCAGGTTTTTATGTCTTCAAGACATGCCTGTAATCTATGCTTCATCTGGATTTATAGACAGATATAGCTGGGTATCATCAGCATAACAGTGGAAATTAATCCCATGCTGTCTAATAATTCTACCAATTGGGAGCATGTATAAAGTAAAGAGAATTGGTCCTAGCACGGATCCCTGTGGTACTCCACAGGTAACCTTTGAGCGTGTTGAAGATCTATCATTAACATGAACAAACTGAATTCGATCAGATAGATAAGATTTAAACCAGTCTAGTGCTGTTCCTTTAATTCCAACAAAATATTCAAGTCTTTCTAAAAGAATATTATGGTCAACTGTATCAAATGCAGCACTAAGATCCAACAGAACGAGCACAGATACAAGTCCATTATCTGAGGCCATGAGAATATCATTAGTGACTTTCACCAGAGCTGTTTCAGTGCTATGATGAGCTCTAAAGCCAGACTGAAACTCTTCAAAAATTTCATTATGGTGGAAGTGATCGCAAACTTGTTTGGCAACTACTTTCTCAAGAATTTTGGATAAGAAAGGAAGATTGGATATAGGTCTATAATTGACCAAGTCATCTGGGTCAAGAGACGGTTTCTTAAGCAGAGGTTTAATTACAGCAATCTTAAAAGCTTTAGGTACATATCCCTGTAACAGAGATAGATTAATCACATCTAAAATGGAGGAGGAGATCAAAGGGAATACCTCCTTAAATAACCTGGTTGGAACTGGATCTAACATACAAGTTGAAGGCTTAGATGAAGACAATAATTTTGCTAATTCAGAGAGTTCAACTGGATCAAAGCAGTCTAAACCCGGTTCAGATTCCATGACTACCTCAGGTACAATCGCGGATAGAGGAGTGCTTATGATCTTATTTTTAATAAGATCAATCTTATTTATAAAGAATCCCATAAAATCATTGCTGCTAAGAGCAGGTGGAATGGACGGTTCAACAGAGCTATGGCTCTGGGTGAGTTTGGCAACTGTATTAAAAAGAAATCTAGGATTATTCTTATTCTCCTCTATTAATGAGGAGAAGTATGCTGCTCTTGCTTTACAAAGGGTCCTCTTATACAGCAGTAAACCATTTTTCCAGACTAGGAAGGACTCTCGCAGGCCTGTGGAGCGATATTTTCTCTCCAGTTTCCTAGCATTTTGCTTCAAAGTACGCAGCTCTGCATTAAACCAAGGAGCAAGCTTTCTATTTTTAACGGTTTTCATTTTCAAAGGAGCTGCGTTGTCTAAGGCAATACGCAGAGAACTAGCAACCCCATCAACAAAATCATCAACCTGTGAAGGGGAATAAGCTAAGCTTTTGCACTCTGCAGCACTGCTCAGTGACACAGAGCAGAGAGAAAGTGAAGCAGATTCTTTAAAATTTATAACTGCACTATCTGATAAAGATCTACTAAAATTGAACCTTCTTTTGGGGGAGGAGAACTCTGTTAAAGTAATCCTGAAGGTTATTAGAAAGTGGTCAGAGAGGACAGGGTTGTGAGGAAATACTGTTATTTCTTCACATTCTATGCCGTATGTCAGCACAAGATCCAAAGTATGAAGATGAGAATGCGTGGGACTATTCACATTTTGAACAAAGCCAATAGTGTCTAAGATAGCATTAAAGGCTGCTCTTAAGCTATCGCCTTCAATGTCAGCATGGATGTTAAAATCTCCCACTATGATGACCCTGTCAGTATTTAATACCAAATCAGAAAGGAACTCTGAAAACTCATCTAAAAATTCAGAGTAAGGACCTGGTGGACGATACAAAGTTACAAAAAGAAGAGGTTTTCTTGCCTTGAAATTTGGATCAGGGAAATTAAGGGTTAAATGTTCAAAAGAGTTGTAGGTATTAATTGTTTTGGGAGTAATCAGTAAGTCAGACTGGAAGATTGTTGCTACTCCTCCTCCTCGCCCAGAACTTCTGGGGATGTGAAAATTTAAATAGCTTGAAGGAGTTGCCTCATTTATGCTCACATAATCCTCTTGCTGCAGCCAGGTTTCTGTAAGGCAAAACAAGTCAATGTGATTATCACAAATCAAGTCATTAACTAGTAGACTTTTAGAGGAAAGCGATCTTATGTTAAACAGACCGCATTTAATTGTTTTAACTTTTTCCCCAATTGGAGTTATTTTGATTTTAATTAGATTATCATGATTTACTCCTTTGGGAATCTTTGCTAATTTATTAGATTTTGGTCGTGGGCAAGACACTGTCTGGATGGAGTAAAGAGTGGGTAACAGTAGAGAAGCTGCAGAGATGTGTGTTAAACTACAACTCTGCTTCCTGGTCTGCACCCTGGGTGGTCAGGGTTTTGGAGGACACATATGGATTTAGATCTCCGATACTGACCTTGTCATAACAATGCATTTGCCCATACTTCAATAAAATTGGTTCACAAAATATCTACTGTCCTGGATTTAAGCTGCAGCATCTATCAAGTGCAGAGAAGACTTCATTTGGAGTGCTGGCATTATACATACCTCCCTGTGCGATGCCACAAGTCACAACCCCTTCCAGCTGGCTTAGCAGATAGAAGCGCTATCTGACGTGGCAGTGTCATAAGAAACTCTTAGGCTAGATCCTTTGAGATTGGCTCTGGAGTGCTCTGCACAAACATGCCTAATCCTGTTGTCTGGTAAAGAAAATGCAATGTTGAAGATAATACAGAGTATGTTCTAACATAAAGACAAGCAAATATTCAAACATTTGCTCTGAGATTAACCATAAAAGAGGGATTGACAGAGGTAGAATTTACTGTGGGATTATTAATTATAGATGTTGGAGATCGGCCTGTTTTTTCAGTGTAGTCCTGTTTCTCTGACTGTGACTAACTGGATGTGCTTTCTTCATCCTCTGGCATGGGAGCTGGCTCTGAGCTCGTCTGCCTGGCTGTGTGTTTCCTGGACGGGACGCCTTTTATAGCTGCTTTTTGTATTTCTGCTTCGTTCTCCTTGAACCCCAGTCGGCCTCGGCAGATGGCCGCTCACACTGAGCCTGGTTCTGCTGGAGGTTTCTTCCTGTTAAAATTGAGTTTTTCCTCTCCACTGTCGCTACAAGCGAGTTTATTATGAGGGATTGCATTTGAGTCAATGAGTCGATGCAATCAACTGGTTTTCCTTAGATAGAAAACTTTTAATCAACCTGACTGGATGATCTGGTGAACTGGAAAGTGCATTGAGATGAGATGTGTAGTGAATTGGAGCTATAGAAATAAACAGAAATAAACTGAATTGAATTGAAAAAAATGTATTATTCTGTTTGTTTTTCAGGTCAATTTATTGACTATTTCTGAGAGTATTGCAGCTCTAGCCATTCAAAATTTTTTCCACTTTCCTTGATGGGCCCTTGGCTGGTCCCCTACAATTCCTTAAAACGTCAATCTACCTAACAATCAATATTTGAACTAAAATATTCTTTCTTTCATGATTTGTGGACATTAAGATTTAGAGGGAAGAATCATCTCTCTGTAATTGAGTGAAAGGGTGGAGTCAGATTTAAAAAATATGCATGCCCAGGAGAAGGAGGGGGTCACTCCAGTGGCTGGAGGTTGGGGGAGATTCTGCTGGGAGTTGCAGGGAAGTGGGCTGTCTTTCGGCTGGCATTTGACTGGGAAGGGCCATTTTAAATGGCTGCTACTGTAATCTGCTGTGTAATAGTGTCATTCTTTACAGTGTAAAAGTGAACATTGTGTCTAATTTCCTGCAGCCGGACTGCCACCTCCACCTCCACCTACGCTGGGCAGACAACCCCTACGTATCTGGTACCGTCCACACCAAAGACTCCGCTCCAGGTCTCATTATGGGTGCAGGTGAGTGAAATATTATTTTATTAGAGCTGTTTTTGTTTTGGTTTTCTTTTCTCCTCTGTGGAAGCTTATTTCTCCCGATATTTAGGAGGGATAACTCCTAAATATCGTGTGATAAGCTTTGACTACTTAATATTTTTAATCCCTTTTTCTAAACTCAGTCTGCTGCTTTGTTTCTTCACAAAGCTGTAGCATGCACAGGTTTCTAACCCTAAAATTCATTATTATAGATTCTAACAGTCTGCCTGCTAGACCTGTGTTAACAGCACTCAGGAAGCAGAGAGGAGGAAGTCACTGTGGGAAGTCTTGCTATCTTATCTCCTCCTGAGCGTACGAACAGATTTAAACACATGCTAGACTTCTGCTCTGCCTTTAATATTGCCATCCCACATAAATGGATACACACACTACTCTGCCTGGGGCTGTCCAGCTTGCTGTGTTCAAGAATGTTCTCTAACCAGCAGCAAAAAAATTATCCTCATAGATCTCAAGACATCTGGAGAAGTATTTGGTTTTATATATGGATAGAATAATATAGATATTTATGTAAAAGTAGGTTCTAAAACACTAATATATGTCTTCTTGTGCTAAAGGGCCTATGTACAGTAAAGCACATCAATCCTTTTGAGTTTGTTGTTGTTTTATAATGGTTAAATCATAACCAAAGGGTTATTTTTTTCTGTATGTCTGCTTCTGTCTGCTTCTGCTGGAGGTTTCTTCCTGTTAAAAGGGAGTTTTTCCTCTCCACTGTCGCTACAAGCATGCTTAGTGTGAGGGATTGACTTCGAGTCAATGAATCAATGCAATCAACTGGTTTTCCTTGGATAGAAAACTTTAATCAATATATTAAAATGTATACACATATATTAAAAACATAAAGAGATCTACATCCGATTAAAAAGAAAAACAGCAATAAACGCTGTGGGACCGTTTCTATGCTGAGTGAGGCAGAGAGGTGATTCTCAGAGAGAATGGGAAGTTTTTCTTTCTTTTTTTCATAAAGAGATGAGAGAGATATGCTACGCTTACCTGCTCTGTCTTCCCCTCCTTATTTTGTTTCTGTGAGGCCCCAAAGAGGATTGCTATTTTCTATATACGTTTTTTTGCTTCCTGAAGTTATTTTTCTTCCAAGGAGATTGATAAACTGCGTTTTCTGTCCTTCGCTGTTTTTGCGTGGCTCAAAGAGGATCACTACTTTATCCATTTTCTGTCCTTCTGAACTGCTATCATGGGTAAATTATTGTTTTTCAATGTTTCGGTTATTGTTTCTGCACAGATCTACCCTGCTTATTATATATGCGCTGTGCCAATCCAAATTCCAAATTAACAGATTTTTCACCAAAGCGGATGTGTTTTACTCTGTAACCGCATCTCTCTTCCTGTCAGACCCATTAAATTGCCGCTGAATTGCTGTGTAGTCCGACTAAAAGAGACCTGGAGTCTATCTCAGTGGGACCAACTTAAGCCCCCTTGTGTAAAATCCAATTTTTCAAACGCCAAGACCTCGTCCAACATGATTTTCTGTCGGAGCGAACACAAAATGGGATTCTGTGATTTTTGGCCTTTAGCCTGTCCAGATTGTCATAATTGCCTGGCTAGGTCTAACTAGAGTAATCATTGCATCTCCCCTTCAAGAAGCACCTGCCTTAACTGCTGAATGGACAACATGCTTGTTTTCTCTGATCAGCAAGTAGATTTGACATTGCGGCACCCTCCACCCATCATTAACTTATCGTTAAATGTGTTTTGCATTGCTAAAGTTGTAACCATTCAAAATTTCCCCACTTTCCTTGATGGGCCCTTGGCTGGTTGCCTAAAATTCCTTTTTATAAACATCAATCTTAGTCCTAAAATGTTCTTTCTGTCATGATTTGTGGACATTAAGATCTAAAAAGAAGCATCATATCCTGGTCAGATCCTGTACACTGCAAAAAACGATTTAGAAATAAGTAAATATTTCTTAAAGGAGGTGTATTTATCCTTATTTTAGGTATGTAAATGAGATAGTTTGGCAATGGAATTAGTATTTTTACTCTTAAAATAAGATAATTAGATAAAATGCACTTGAAATAAGACAATGCAATTGTGTTTTCTTATTTTAAATCTACATTGTCTTATTCCATTGGCAAAATGTCTCTTTTACCTCCTCAATTCAAGAACAAAAGCACTTATTTAAAGAAAAAATTACTTATCTAGATTTAGATATTTTCCAGTGTAATTCAGTGAAAGGCGATCATTTCTTTCTTCTTCTTAAAGTAAGTGCATTTGTTTTAAAATTTAGGAGGTAAAAGAGACATTTTGCCAGTGGAACAAGACAATTTACACTTAAAATAAGAAAACACAATTGCATTGTCTTATTTCAAGTGCATATTATCTATTTATCTTTTTTTTAAGAGAAAAAATACAAATTCCATTGGCAAACTATCTAATTTACCTAATCAAATTAAGGGTAAATAGACTTAAATCAAGACATTTTTACAGTTTACATTTTTCCAGTGTGGAAGTTTGAGGGGAATTTGCTGGGAGTTGCAGGGGAGTCTGCTGCCATTTGGCTGGTGTTTGACTCAGAAGGGCCATTTTGAATGGGTGCTACTGTATAGTTCTCATTTTGAACATGTAAATGGAAAAATAAAAACAACTTCACCTGTAAGAATCAGCCCCCTAGAAAGATAGAAAAAAATCAATAGTACATATGTGGGATCAATAGACCTAAAAATAATTGGCATTGGATGAATGCTGTGCTGGTGGGGGGTTCTTTCTGAGTGGTTGCAAGGGAGGATTATTTTCCCATTCTACTATGAGCACACAGTGCAAGTTGATATTTATTTTATCATTATTTTTATTTATTTTTTTTTACAAACGTTACCTAGTGCACCTTTTAAAAGCCTTGCAAGTGTGAACAAATAAAATAAAAACACTCCACTATGGACATTAAGAGAAGAAACATTTTTATTTATGTTTTATCATCTTAAATCGATTACTCTGTTGCATTTGCTCCAAGTGAATAGCCTATATGTAAGGAAGATAACCCGATAAATAAAAAAATGGCCTTGTTGAAATCTCCATGCTATGCGAGTACAGCTATGCTTTTGTATTCCCTCTGTACACCTGGATCTCTCTGCCTTGTTCTTACTGTGCTACCTTAGTTACTGATGTTTGTTTCTAGAGTCCCCTCTTCCTGATGCAGCTCCGCATTTTTCATCTTTCCCTCAGGAAACCTCGGCTCCAAACTGGTAGAGTATAAGGAGGAGATGTACATCACATCCGACTGTGGGAAGACATGGAGACAGGTACAGCATGCTTTCTTAGTTTTCTCCTTTTTATTTCCACTTCCCCTCCCCCTCCATCGGACCTGAAGTAGAACCTGCAGAACCTTCATGAGAGACTCAAACAGTTACTTCAGCTTTTAAATAACTTTCATACATTACTGTTTGTTCTTGAAGGTTTTTGAACAGGAACATCACATCCTGTATCTGGACCATGGTGGAGTCATTGTTGCCATCAAGGACACCTCTATTCCCCTCAAGATACTGAAGTAAGATTAGCACTTATTTTTTCTTACCAAGAATGATGAATACAAATAATACAGTTTACTGTATTCAAAGATGCCTGTGAATCCAAAACGCTATTATGTATGTAAAATGTTATTAAAATGCTGAATGTGTCAGTGCCGGTAAAATGAATTGGGGCATGTCTTATTTTAGGTAGTGTAATAAAAAAATAAAAATCATATTTTTCTCCAAAGTAGTAAAATACTGTTTTTAGAAGCTGTTTCATTTGAGCCTGTAGAGGGTAATTAGGGTCTGGAAGATGTAAAAATATTTACAACTATTACAGCTTTTCCTTTATGGATTTATGAACTTCTAATTCCATTAGGGAAACTATCTCAGCCCACTTTGTACTGGTAAGAAAGCAACTTTTATTAACATTTTATATATTAGGTATTTTTTAAAAGCTCTCATTGTGTACTGCAAAAATTTAAATCTAAGTTAGTCAGTGTTTATTTAAATAAGTGTGTTTTCCTTTTATTTGAGCAAGTAAAGAAACACAATTTGCCAATGGAATAAGAGGGGTTAGATTTAAAATAAGAAAAACAAATCAAACTCCATTATCATTCCAAAAAAAAAAAAAAAAAAAAAAAAAATCAACTGGACTTTGTTTTCCAAGTTTCAAGACGTTCCTCTTCCCATCCAGGAAGCTTTTTCAATACAAAGTGTCAGAAATAGCGTTGAGTTCGAGGGTTTATACAGTAGCCCATCAAAGCCTTGTTTTTATTTCAAAAACATGAAAATTGAAACAGTAAAATGGGTCCACACCTTTGGGATGGGGGTCGTTTGGCTTAATTTTTAGCCTGCAATAGCCCATACCTGTCTATGTCTTTGAAAGGGGGATCCTCTGAAGAGGACAAAAAATCCGCCTTCTGCTTATGTACAAAAAAATCTCAGCAGTAGTATAACGCTTTTCATGGATTTGACTCTATTTCCATCAAATTTCACACACAAGCTCAGGCTTTTATTTACAAAGAATGCATTGCATTTAAAAAAAAGAAGAAAAAAAAGAAAAATAAGACGAGAAAAGTCTTTCTTCGCTACATTGAACGCTGTCTCACAGGTACAGGCAGCTTTAGCTGCACACAGACCAATCGAAATGCTATTATATGCTGTAATTTAGGGGTGAAATCTGTAAAAAAAAAAAAAAAAAAAGGCATTTAAAAAGCATACAATTAGCAAAAATTAACTAAAAAGCTGAAATGAGATTTGTACGGAAGCCGAGAGTGGTCAAGATAATTATATAACTATCTAGTTATCAAGGTTAAACCATTAATTGTTTTCTCGAGATAAGATAATTATCTTGTTAACACTAATTTATTTATTGAGATAACGAGCTGATTAACCTGTATAAGTAATGAATGAGGCTGACCAAATGCCCTGGATTCCCAGTCCATCCATGCCTGCTGGGCCCGTAGGTGTGCAGTCGCAGTACCGCGTTTGCGCAAAAAATCTGGTTTTTAGTTTCCTTTTTCTTTTCACTCATTGTCAGGTGGTGGTGGATGATTAGATTGCATGGAATACAGTAGAAACAAATCTGACTTTTTTTTTTTTATGAAAATCTTTAATCTGGACTTATTTTTGGGGTTAATGCATCTTATACCTGTTAAAGGCTTAACACCGGGGCTGTTTAGAAAATAGAACATCAGTGCTAAGGCACCAGAGGCATAGGTCTAAATGCCGATGAATCATCATCAAACCAACAACGTCTTCCCGTTACCTAAAACTTAAACACAGGATCATTTACAGAAATACACATATTCTGCCATGATTTATGAATCCTCTCCCGCTGTTGTGGTATTGAAGGATTTAATGAGTTTTAACACAAACCAATCATCTCGTTATCAGGGGAAACAACTTTCGTTATCTTTAGATAATGAGAAAACTAACGTACTTTCTCGAAAAAACTACTGTGAAAGGGTTGCAGTGGGAAACGACCACTCTTACCTTCTGTAAATTTCAAACAAAAGATCTACGAAATTTATATAAAAAGTAACTGTATATTATTATATATTAACTGTATAAATATGTTTAAACTTTTACATACAAATTATAAGTCAATCTTAAAACCATTTAGTTTTATTAATGCTTTTTCTTCCAGGGTTTTTGCTTTTAATGATACTGAAATAAATTTCTCTTCATATCGAACAACAGTTTTAAAATTAGTTGTAAAATAAAGATTATCCTTATTTGATTTTAATGATGCCATAACGCCTAAGAATGAGCTGGTTAGGTTTTTGGGTCCAGAATTTCTATCCAGTCCGAAGGAACAGTTTTATATGTATTTTTAACAAATTTCACCAGGCAATAAAACCCTACACCCCATCTTAGAATGCAGATAGGATTTCTGTTTTTTTCTTCCTGGGTTTTGCACACTGATTTATTTCATCTATTTTAAGCTGAAACTATTTTGCAGTTTCAGTAAAGTGGATCATTTGTTATTGCTGCAGCTCCAGCTGCTGCGCACCGTGTGTCGCCGATCGTTTTGATGCCCATCGAAAGGCATCTTTCAAATGGCTCATTATGTGCTACCGCCGCACACTATGAGACCTCCCAGGTTCCCCCCCGACATGACAGATTTACATTTAGCAGGCTGATTCAGGTTTAATGTGGTGAAACATATCTTTAGTGGGGAAACTGGCTGTGTGCTATTAAACTAATAATGGTTAATTACCATGAGCGATTGCCATTTCAGAAAAAACGTTGATTGTTTCCAAGGTTTTGAAGTTTTCCCAATTTTGTGAAGCAGCAGCAGCATTTTCATGGTGACGTAAGAAGAATAACTGCATGTTATGCACACTGCATTTGATTAAAGTTTTCAATTCATGTGAAACAAGAACAACTGCTTACAAACTATCACTGGCCTTACCAGTCCCCTCTTCACCAGTGGCAGTTCTAGAGAATTTTTTGTAGGGGGGGTCAGCATGGACCAGTGTTTTTTTTTATGTTGCACAGAGAAAAAACAACCTGTAATTCAGTGAAAGGATGGAGTCAGAGTAAAACAATATGCATGCCCAGGAGAAGAAGGGGTCACTCCAGTGGCTTCAAGTTGGTTGTCATTCAGCTGGCATTTGACTGGGAGGGGCCATTTTGAATAGCTGCTACTGTAGGATCAGCTTGGAGGGTGTGAGGAATACTAACCTGACTCAGCCAGATGGATTTGCTCCACATATCCATCTGGAAACCTTCCGTGGAAGTAATTTTGGGAAGGGGCGAAAATACTGGTTAGCTGATTGGCCTATGTTGGTGATAGACGGGCCAAATAAACCAATCAGATCAACGAAGCATATGACGTACTAACAGAGCGACGATGAAAACACAACCACAAGCCAGGCTACTCTTGCCGAAACCAGTCGGGAGAAGAGTAAAGACATATTTTCCTCTGAGAAAAGCCTCCAGAGCAGTGTTTTGCTCTTCTTTCAGTGAAGAAATATTCTGTAATTCCGATAAAACTTGCTCGATAGCCACGCTAACGCTAGTTTCATCGGCTGAAGCTGCCATGTTCTTTAGACTGAACTGTTGCGCTTCTCGTTGCGTCACACCTCAACCCGCCTCAAAGCCAACCCTGATTGGACGTTCGTTTGGTGAACGGCTCCAAATTTTCTTTAACGGGGAGTCTCCAGACTGATTAGCGAGTGAAACCTTGAAAGCTTGCAAGATCAGGATGGTTTCACGAGGCTAGAGTAATGCTGCTTCTTTCTGGAAAGTATGTCGGGGCAGGTTGGACTGGGCGGGAGAGGCCAGCGGCAGAGCTCCAGTGAACAGCCACTGGGTTGGACCAGACATCTTGGTTAGTGTTTCTTTGTAGCCTACTAACTTTCTCTGCCCATACTTTTCTTCTGCTAAACATAAAAAAATAATAACAAAGATATATGACTGTATACTAGGAGCAAACTCCTTTCCTAGATCTACTCTTGTTTTTCCTCGCACACAATGTTTTCCCTTTTTAGCCTTCTCAGAAGGTTTAAACTTTTTCCTTGCCTCAGCCATGACGAGTAGTAGAGCAGGTCGAAAATAGTAGAGCAAAAGCCTTAGCTCCATGTCTATATAAGAGCCTGTGGCTGTAAAGCGAGACGTTCTTCCAGGTCACATGACCTAGCCAACAACGCTGCGTCTTCTCCCAACTAGCATTGATAGCGTCAAGCGCTGTATATTGGCCTGAGGAATCATTTAAAATGACTCATATGAGTCAACTCATTAGGTCACACAGTCCACGGTGCCTTTAAGGTAATTTGTAAAGGTAAAATTACACTGCAAAAATAATCTAGACTAGAAATAACTAAACATTTCTTAAATTAAGTGCATTCACCCTTAATTTGAGTAAGTAAATAAGATAATTTGCCAAAGGAATAAGTAGTTTTACTCTTTAATCAAGATAATTAGATAATATACACTCGAAATAAGACAATGCAATTTTTTTTAACTTATTTTAAATCTAAATTGTCTTGTTCCGTGGGCAAAGTGTCTCACTTACCTCCTCAATTCGAGAACAAATCAACTTATTTTAGATATAATTTTTTGCAGTGTAGATTGTTCAAATAATAGATTTTGTTCTGGTCTCTTCTGTCAGCATACATCATTATAAATTATTTTTTTATTGCACTGCAAAAACTGATCAATAAAGGTGAAAAAGCAGTGTTTAAACAACTTATTTTCAATTTACAATGAAGAACTTATTTTCCTCATTGTATGGTCCCATTACAATATAATTAGATGTAATGCAATTTAAATGATGCAATGCATTTTTTTCCCCTCATTTTGAATGTAAAAAAATGTATTCTATTGGAAAAGAAAGTGCAGTGATTTCAGTACAAGGGCCATAACAGGGACTATGACCTGTTCTAAAGGGTTACTGGCTGCTGTTGGCCCCTGTCTAGAACCACCCATGCCCTGCTGGAAAGGACCCAGCTTTCAAAGCTTGCCTAATTCTTCATGACATAGATTAATCAAGGGATTATTCCTCAGAGATATTGTCAAATACTCACAT